CATGCAACACGTTGACGCGTTGAGTCGGTGCACAAATATATTGGTGATAGAAACAAATACCTTCGAAGAAAGCCTAATCATTGGTCAAGGTAGAGATTCTGAGTTGAAGAGAATCCGAGAAGAATTACAACGTACGGAACATAATTCGTACGAAATGCGAAACGGGGTGGTGTATAGAAAGAAACGGGATGGAGGCTTATTGTTTTTTGTTCCAACTGACATGCAGGAACGTGTAATTTATAAATACCACGATGAGAAGGGGCATGTGGGCACAGATAAAGTGACTGAGCTTATATCGAAAACATATTGGTTCCCCAAAATGTGTGATAAAGTAATTAGCCACATACAAAATTGTTTACAATGCATAGCGTTCGCGGCTAAAAATTACAAGAATGAGGGCCTTTTACATACGATTCCAAAAAGTAAAGTACCATTTGAAGTTGTTCATATCGACCACTATGGTCCCGTAGACAAATCGACATCGAGAAAGTATATATTTGTGGTTATCGATAGTTGCACTAAGTTTACTCGGTTATACGCAACTAAAACAACAAACACAAAAGAGGTGATAAATGCGCTTAATGAATATTTTAGGTCATATAGTAAGCCAAAGTGTATTATATCGGATAGGGGTACTAGTTTTACTTCAGGANATGATAAATGCGCTTAATGAATATTTTAGATCATATAGTAAGCCAAAGTGTATTATATCGGATAGGGATACTAGTTTTACTTCAGGTGATTTTAAGGAATTTACAGAAACGCATAATACTCAGCATATTAAGATTGCAACTGGTTCTCCGCAAGCAAACGGCCAAGTTGAGCGCGTGAACAGAACTATTGGGCCAATGATAGCAAAATTGATCAATCAAAAAGGGGGTACAAATTGGGTTTCTGTGTTAGAACAGGTTGAATTTTGTCTCAATAACACGCATCACAGATCTATTAACGAACATCCAAGTGTTATGTTATTTGGAATAAGACAAAGGGGCAAAATAGAGGACTATCTTCAAGAATCGTTAAATAATGTTAGTGGAAATGAAAATCAGGAATGTCGGACTCTCGACGAGATTAGAAGCAAGGCAGCTCAAGCTGAGAATAAAGTACAAAAATATAACGAGCAGTATGTCAATAGCAAGTGAAAACCGTCAGTTAAATATGTCAATGGAGATTATGTCATGGTAACAAATTTCGATTCAGCCGCCGGCATATCTAGAAAACTAATTCTCAAATTAAGAGGTCCTTATCGAGTCTCAAAAGTTTTTCGAAATGACCGTTACTTGTTGGAAGATGTAGAGAATTTTCAGCAACCCAGAACTCCTTATAAAGGCGCTTGGGCTGCTTCCAATATAAAACCTTGGTTCAAGGGTCGTGAAGGCTATGATGATCAGGAGATCACATAATCGGGATGGCCGAATTGTAGTAGAAATTGTAGTAGAATATTGCTAATAGTATGACCTAGATTTAGAGAATACAACCATGTAAATGCAAATGACCTAGATTTAAGAAATATAACGCTGTAGAAATACAACTCTGTATATGGAAAGCGTCTGGGTAGAGACAAGAAAAACGAAATAAAGACATTCGTAAAATAGCATCGAGCAAGTGAACTTGTGCGTTTTCGTGATCGGCCTCTATCTTATTGCCTGCTACAATAGTAAATTGCATAAAAATGTAAAACTAAGTATTTATCGAGGTAGATTATCACAAAACGAATGGAAATCTTTGTGTATATATTGCTTTAACGTTGGCTGTAGGCTGTTGTGTTTAGATTGATAAATTTTTTGGACCATCGTACAATAGCTCCGTTTCGTATTGCTGTAATAACAGAGCTGGCAGTGATGCCCAGCAGTCGGTATGACGCACTGCTTACCGGTGCTTCCCCAGGTTTTTTACTTGGCCTTATAGTTGTATACTTACAAGGAACACTCTCATAATTTATAAAAGTTGTATACTCTAAATTATTAACAATATAAGGATGTGATGGCCTCGCCTGTCGCATACGACTTATGTAGTCCATTGCTGAATATATCGGTGGATGGAATACATTTTCTAATGTAGAGTGGACTCTGTCTACCTCCATACTTTTTACCTTTGTTAATTGTTGAATTCCAATTGCAAGCGATCAAATTAAATAGTAGAATCTATGTAGTGGAAGTAGTATGTGCAGTGACTCAAACAAATGACCACGTGTTGATTTTCTTCAAATATTCATAATGTTTTTCAAGATAATTTTTTTTTATTTTTATATAAAAATAACGTCTAAGCTTTAACTAAAACCGTGTAAATCACAGTTTCAAACTTTGTTAAAATTTTTTGGAAAACTCAATAAATTTGCAGTTTTATAGCCTATACAATTTTAGTCCAATGAAGTGCAAAATTAAAACGGCTAAAAAAACACGTTGATGAAAATTTTTGAATTTTCCCAAAGTTTGTATGAAGTTTAAAACTGATTAACAAAACTGATGGTTTTGGTTAAAGCTTAAACGATATTTTTATATAAAAATAACGAAAAAAATTTATCGCGAAAAAAATTGCGAATATTTGAAGAAAGCAACACATGGCCATTTGTTTGAGTCACTGTATGTATGTATGTATTTACTTGGTTTATAATTATTTTTTACATCGAAGTCAAAGCACACTCATCAGATTCGCCTGCGATGAAAAACAGTTATAAACAAGTAAACGTATACCCGTTTTTTCAGAGTATTTCTAGTACTGCGGGCACATAGCTGTTTTTGGTCAGTTCTAAACTAAAAGATATATAAGAGAACGGAAAATGCAGTAATGCGGGCAATAGATAGTGTTAATAAAATATGCAATAAAAAAATTGACAAAAATCACATAACTGTTTTTGTTGGCGCAGCGACCATTTCTATTATCAAATTAGGTACAATTTGAACTTTAGATTTTCCATCACTGGTGACGTTGTCCGTTGCTTCTCTCTTTCTATCAACAGCAATTTTGTATATTGATACGGACGGCATGTACGGAAGGGTGCTTCGTCGGTGGCTGGTTAAGCCAATAGTCGCATTACGGGTGTTTATTAGCGTAGATACAACCATAAGGCCATGTGCAACGCAAGAAAATTGAAAACCGCAGAACTGGATCTGGCTGCTGTAAATACTTTTTTGGCCTTATTCATAAAAAATAAAGTAGTTTTAAAGAGCTCTATTAAGTGACATTTTCATACAAATTTCCGATTTATAAAGGAGTTAAATCCTTTATTTTTTATGAATTTTTGTATTTATATATATTGCTCTTTAAAACTTTTAATATTTATTATTCATAAACGGGATTTTCGTATTTTAAAATGGGATAACCAGGTCGTTTTTCAGAGCAGAATGTGTTGCCAGCAAAATTTCTGTTAGAAATCTTCCAAACGTTGATAAAATCTTCGAAAATCCATAAAAGGTCTCTGAAACTGGAAAAAATCGTTTCTTTAGAAATATCTTTATTGAAGATATTATTACAAAAAAACTTAAATTTTTTAATTTAAATTTTATTAATTATACAAAACCAAAACACATTTAAAAACAAAAATAACCAGTTCATTAATTCATAACAGTTTTACTTGACTAGTTCTCGAACCATACAAGAATTTATATAACTACATATGTATGTATATTATTCAATCATTGGAATTAACAAATAAGTTGCAGAGAACTGTGAAAATATACAGGTACGACATATATAAGAATGTATACATTTTAATTTAAGTCTTGTTCTCATTTAAATCTATATCATGGCATGACCGTACCTATGTAAATAATCCTCTGTATAAAGTATACCACTTAAGGTAGTGATTTCCAGTTTATTACGAATTTTTATTTTGTTCAATCTTGTTTGAGAAAAAAACTCACTCTGTGCATTCATCCTCGCTATCGGATGATGATGATGATGATATCTCTATAAAGTTAATTATAGAAAATTTAATTTGTTAATTTAAATTTAGAAACCAAAATTACTTTCATTTTTGTTTTTACAAATATCGCTCCATAATTATCTTGTGGAAATTCACAGCGCGAGTTTGTCCTGCAAGGTAAATTGATAACAAAAACGAAAAATTTATTGCCAACTATCCTAAAAAAATCTTCATGTGCTGCCAGATATCATCACTGTGAAGATTTTTTGTATGGAGTTTTATTTTGTTGTAATTCTTTTCATGTGAAGATTTTTCTGATTATTTATGAAAAATATCTCCATTTTGAAGATAAATCTTCACTTCTGGCAACAGTGCATACTGCCTACAGCGCTGGTTATACTTATCTACATTCGAAGTGCGGAAGTGCGGGGCATAGAGAAACAGAGCATGTGAAGCAGTGGTGTAATTATAATCGGCATAGAGCGCATAATCTCCCAGAATCAGCAGTTCAGTGTAATCAGTTAGTCTGTTCCAGTACTCCAGGATTTAGTTAGGAAAACATAATTGAAGAATGTGTATTCAAGGCCTAAATGAAGTCGACTCTAAAGTTAGTTGCGGCTTTTTGTCATATAATTTTCAATGAAATGGCGGCAACTAACTTTATAATCGACTATAAATATGCCTCAATGTATGTACAAGAACGACTTCTCAGTAATTCCTGTAAATCTGATGGGTACTGGAACTGACTAATGAGAGCACTGGAGAGTGGTATCTCTCTTTGAAAAAGTCGCATAGCGAAAAATCAAAATTCTCCAGACTTTGCTGTCATGCCCTGTCATGCGCTGCATCGGATAATTGCTTGTATGCAAAGCTCATGAAACAGATTCGATTTATGGCAGTACTCATGTTATGAGCACAATGCAAGTATAATAATCGCTTGACGCAACTGCAATTCCATTTGGAAATGAAACGAAAAAAATTATGAAAATTTGACTTATTTATGACTTAATTTTAACGTAATGACACCGAATTTGTATGCCCAAATTTTCATAAAAATTTTTGGCAGTTAATGTCCAGTAGAAGTCCGCCATAAGTTTATAACTAAAAGATTTTATCGTTCGAAAATTTAATTTAATTAAAATTTGATTTTTCTAGTGGCATTTCATCGCTATGCTTTACAAACGGTGGCGAAGCATTATATATGCTCTCCTCTTCTGAATTGCAACGCATTTCTCTATCAGCCACGAAAGCTGTGACTCCACAAGGCGCCATCGAAGTGAAAGAATTGATCAGCTTTGAACACACTAACACAACCGCTGATAGAAGCAGTGTAAATGATGAGAACGAAGAGCACATTGAGGCGACGAATTCAACTTCCGCAACTCATTCACAGGAGACTCTATCGAGACTTGGCCAAAAACATCTTGCAGTCGACACTGAATCACAACAGCGAGGAATCAGTGTAACCAATGGTGATAACTCGACTATGGAAAACAATTCTCTAAATCGTGGTAACGAAACAATCACCAGCTCAATGGGTGATATAACTGTAGACTCTGTAAGGGACCATTTGAACGCCACAACAACTACCTTATGTACGGCGACAACTGAAGAAATTGTGGGTAAGCAAAAATCAATAGACATATCGCGCTTGGCGCGCAATACCTCGTATTCGCCAAATGCAACACCACGTATAAGATAGTCCGAAAATTTCGCAAAAGAGCGGAGAAGGTTTTTTTCTTCAGAACGTTTAAATGGTTTGCTAACTAAACTCACTAAATATGAGCTTCTACCATAATTATTTACTATTCAATTTGTGAAATAGGGAAGCGCTGAGATAGGGTAACCAAAATAAATTTTTTGTTTGCCATCTCATACGTGGTATTGCATTTGGCAGATACGAAGTATTGCGCGCGAAACGACGACATATTTAAATACTATATCGATGGCTGAGCGGAAAATCGACCTATCTCGGCAGCCAGTTCGAAAACGCCCTATCTCAGAAAACTTTTCACAACTAAAAACATAAATTGATAATGTGCTGAGATAGGGCGTTTTCGAATCGGCAGCTGATCTAGGACATTTTAAACCCTATTTTGAGATAGGGCGTTTTTTAATCAAATTCTGAAATAGGGCGTTGTTGGAAAATTTGCTGAGATAGGGCGTTTTCGAAGTGGCTGCAGAGATAGGTCGATCTTCCACTCAGCCATCGATATATATTATACATACATACTCCGATTGACGTTAAAAATATTGGTGGCAGTTGTATTGAACTGAATATCAAAATATGTATTCAATTGTTGTTTGTCCACTTAACCCATTTCATTCCAGATATTTTTTAATAAAACGTAGTACATGAGCTATTTTAAGCGTAAAAACGATGGAGAAATGATCAAAAGAAAAATAGTCGCATTGGGCTTCCTAGGGTGGGCCGTTGCGAAAACGCAACGTTGGGAGAATCCACTACTATTATCTTGGTCGAGACAATATACTAAAAAAGTTGGAAAAACACTAAGTTTAGATATTCAAACCTAAACTATATTTTTATTTTATAAAAATATTACATTTAGTTTGTGTTAAATGTGTACTTAAATTAATTAAAAACGTATGTTTTATGTTATTTTGAGATAATCATGAAAACATTTTTCATGGAATGCAATATTGTATCTTTCATCTGACGCAGGGTGTTTTGCAATGAGGTAGTGGCAGGTACTGGCCGACTGGAAAAACGCCCGAAAATTTTACCAGAGTTAGGCGACTTAGGGAAGGTTTCAAAACCAGGGCGAACTCCTGTAAGAACAACCATGGTGACCTAGTGACCGATGTCAGAATGTTCATCGATAAATAAATAAATTGGAGGGAACACTCTTCCATTGAACTGAATGGTAGCATCACTGAAAGTTGTGGAAAAGACGAGCCCAAGACCCCAGTCGATGATGGCGGAGTGGATGTTCCACGCCTTACTATGGCGAGGTACGAATAGCAATTACACGTCTTAAAAACAACAAAGATGCTGGACCTGAAGACCTGCTAGCTGAGATATTCAAGCACGGCGGCGAGGTGCATGCATCAGCTCGTATACCGATCCGCCCAATCCATAAGAAAGACGACCCCGCCGTACGCGCCTACTACCGCTGAGCCTTACAAGGTTGCAAGGTCTTATCCAGCGTATGGTGTGAAAGACTGAAGCCAACGAACTGATNTTGACAAAAATCACATAACTGTTTTTGTTGGCGCAGCGACCATTTCTATTATCAAATTAGGTACAATTTGAACTTTAGATTTTCCATCACTGGTGACGTTGTCCGTTGCTTCTCTCTTTCTATCAACAGCAATTTTGTATATTGATACGGACGGCATGTACGGAAGGGTGCTTCGTCGGTGGCTGGTTAAGCCAATAGTCGCATTACGGGTGTTTATTAGCGTAGATACAACCATAAGGCCATGTGCAACGCAAGAAAATTGAAAACCGCAGAACTGGATCTGGCTGCTGTAAATACTTTTTTGGCCTTATTCATAAAAAATAAAGTAGTTTTAAAGAGCTCTATTAAGTGACATTTTCATACAAATTTCCGATTTATAAAGGAGTTAAATCCTTTATTTTTTATGAATTTTTGTATTTATATATATTGCTCTTTAAAACTTTTAATATTTATTATTCATAAACGGGATTTTCGTATTTTAAAATGGGATAACCAGGTCGTTTTTCAGAGCAGAATGTGTTGCCAGCAAAATTTCTGTTAGAAATCTTCCAAACGTTGATAAAATCTTCGAAAATCCATAAAAGGTCTCTGAAACTGGAAAAAATCGTTTCTTTAGAAATATCTTTATTGAAGATATTATTACAAAAAAACTTAAATTTTTTAATTTAAATTTTATTAATTATACAAAACCAAAACACATTTAAAAACAAAAATAACCAGTTCATTAATTCATAACAGTTTTACTTGACTAGTTCTCGAACCATACAAGAATTTATATAACTACATATGTATGTATATTATTCAATCATTGGAATTAACAAATAAGTTGCAGAGAACTGTGAAAATATACAGGTACGACATATATAAGAATGTATACATTTTAATTTAAGTCTTGTTCTCATTTAAATCTATATCATGGCATGACCGTACCTATGTAAATAATCCTCTGTATAAAGTATACCACTTAAGGTAGTGATTTCCAGTTTATTACGAATTTTTATTTTGTTCAATCTTGTTTGAGAAAAAAACTCACTCTGTGCATTCATCCTCGCTATCGGATGATGATGATGATGATATCTCTATAAAGTTAATTATAGAAAATTTAATTTGTTAATTTAAATTTAGAAACCAAAATTACTTTCATTTTTGTTTTTACAAATATCGCTCCATAATTATCTTGTGGAAATTCACAGCGCGAGTTTGTCCTGCAAGGTAAATTGATAACAAAAACGAAAAATTTATTGCCAACTATCCTAAAAAAATCTTCATGTGCTGCCAGATATCATCACTGTGAAGATTTTTTGTATGGAGTTTTATTTTGTTGTAATTCTTTTCATGTGAAGATTTTTCTGATTATTTATGAAAAATATCTCCATTTTGAAGATAAATCTTCACTTCTGGCAACAGTGCATACTGCCTACAGCGCTGGTTATACTTATCTACATTCGAAGTGCGGAAGTGCGGGGCATAGAGAAACAGAGCATGTGAAGCAGTGGTGTAATTATAATCGGCATAGAGCGCATAATCTCCCAGAATCAGCAGTTCAGTGTAATCAGTTAGTCTGTTCCAGTACTCCAGGATTTAGTTAGGAAAACATAATTGAAGAATGTGTATTCAAGGCCTAAATGAAGTCGACTCTAAAGTTAGTTGCGGCTTTTTGTCATATAATTTTCAATGAAATGGCGGCAACTAACTTTATAATCGACTATAAATATGCCTCAATGTATGTACAAGAACGACTTCTCAGTAATTCCTGTAAATCTGATGGGTACTGGAACTGACTAATGAGAGCACTGGAGAGTGGTATCTCTCTTTGAAAAAGTCGCATAGCGAAAAATCAAAATTCTCCAGACTTTGCTGTCATGCCCTGTCATGCGCTGCATCGGATAATTGCTTGTATGCAAAGCTCATGAAACAGATTCGATTTATGGCAGTACTCATGTTATGAGCACAATGCAAGTATAATAATCGCTTGACGCAACTGCAATTCCATTTGGAAATGAAACGAAAAAAATTATGAAAATTTGACTTATTTATGACTTAATTTTAACGTAATGACACCGAATTTGTATGCCCAAATTTTCATAAAAATTTTTGGCAGTTAATGTCCAGTAGAAGTCCGCCATAAGTTTATAACTAAAAGATTTTATCGTTCGAAAATTTAATTTAATTAAAATTTGATTTTTCTAGTGGCATTTCATCGCTATGCTTTACAAACGGTGGCGAAGCATTATATATGCTCTCCTCTTCTGAATTGCAACGCATTTCTCTATCAGCCACGAAAGCTGTGACTCCACAAGGCGCCATCGAAGTGAAAGAATTGATCAGCTTTGAACACACTAACACAACCGCTGATAGAAGCAGTGTAAATGATGAGAACGAAGAGCACATTGAGGCGACGAATTCAACTTCCGCAACTCATTCACAGGAGACTCTATCGAGACTTGGCCAAAAACATCTTGCAGTCGACACTGAATCACAACAGCGAGGAATCAGTGTAACCAATGGTGATAACTCGACTATGGAAAACAATTCTCTAAATCGTGGTAACGAAACAATCACCAGCTCAATGGGTGATATAACTGTAGACTCTGTAAGGGACCATTTGAACGCCACAACAACTACCTTATGTACGGCGACAACTGAAGAAATTGTGGGTAAGCAAAAATCAATAGACATATCGCGCTTGGCGCGCAATACCTCGTATTCGCCAAATGCAACACCACGTATAAGATAGTCCGAAAATTTCGCAAAAGAGCGGAGAAGGTTTTTTTCTTCAGAACGTTTAAATGGTTTGCTAACTAAACTCACTAAATATGAGCTTCTACCATAATTATTTACTATTCAATTTGTGAAATAGGGAAGCGCTGAGATAGGGTAACCAAAATAAATTTTTTGTTTGCCATCTCATACGTGGTATTGCATTTGGCAGATACGAAGTATTGCGCGCGAAACGACGACATATTTAAATACTATATCGATGGCTGAGCGGAAAATCGACCTATCTCGGCAGCCAGTTCGAAAACGCCCTATCTCAGAAAACTTTTCACAACTAAAAACATAAATTGATAATGTGCTGAGATAGGGCGTTTTCGAATCGGCAGCTGATCTAGGACATTTTAAACCCTATTTTGAGATAGGGCGTTTTTTAATCAAATTCTGAAATAGGGCGTTGTTGGAAAATTTGCTGAGATAGGGCGTTTTCGAAGTGGCTGCAGAGATAGGTCGATCTTCCACTCAGCCATCGATATATATTATACATACATACTCCGATTGACGTTAAAAATATTGGTGGCAGTTGTATTGAACTGAATATCAAAATATGTATTCAATTGTTGTTTGTCCACTTAACCCATTTCATTCCAGATATTTTTTAATAAAACGTAGTACATGAGCTATTTTAAGCGTAAAAACGATGGAGAAATGATCAAAAGAAAAATAGTCGCATTGGGCTTCCTAGGGTGGGCCGTTGCGAAAACGCAACGTTGGGAGAATCCACTACTATTATCTTGGTCGAGACAATATACTAAAAAAGTTGGAAAAACACTAAGTTTAGATATTCAAACCTAAACTATATTTTTATTTTATAAAAATATTACATTTAGTTTGTGTTAAATGTGTACTTAAATTAATTAAAAACGTATGTTTTATGTTATTTTGAGATAATCATGAAAACATTTTTCATGGAATGCAATATTGTATCTTTCATCTGACGCAGGGTGTTTTGCAATGAGGTAGTGGCAGGTACTGGCCGACTGGAAAAACGCCCGAAAATTTTACCAGAGTTAGGCGACTTAGGGAAGGTTTCAAAACCAGGGCGAACTCCTGTAAGAACAACCATGGTGACCTAGTGACCGATGTCAGAATGTTCATCGATAAATAAATAAATTGGAGGGAACACTCTTCCATTGAACTGAATGGTAGCATCACTGAAAGTTGTGGAAAAGACGAGCCCAAGACCCCAGTCGATGATGGCGGAGTGGATGTTCCACGCCTTACTATGGCGAGGTACGAATAGCAATTACACGTCTTAAAAACAACAAAGATGCTGGACCTGAAGACCTGCTAGCTGAGATATTCAAGCACGGCGGCGAGGTGCATGCATCAGCTCGTATACCGATCCGCCCAATCCATAAGAAAGACGACCCCGCCGTACGCGCCTACTACCGCTGAGCCTTACAAGGTTGCAAGGTCTTATCCAGCGTATGGTGTGAAAGACTGAAGCCAACGAACTGATTGGGCCTATTAGTGTGGCTTTAGACCTGGCAAATCCAACTTAGAACAGGTGTTCACAATATGCCAAATCTTGAAAAAGCCCCTCGAGAAAAGGGTCGATTCTCACCATCTATTTGTGGACTTCAAAGCCGCTTTCGACATCAATAAAAGTAGTTGCCTATAGGCCGCGATGTCAGAATTTGGTAACCCACGGATACGTCTGTGTAAAACAACGTTGAGCAATACCACCAGCTCCCTCAGAATTGGAAAAGACCTCTCCGAGCCGTTTCTTACTAAACAAGGTTTCAAACAAGGCGACTCCCTTTCATGTGATTTTTTTAATCTGATGGAGAAGATAATAAAAGGTGCAGAACTGAACCGCTCAGGAACAATTTTTTACAATTGCTGGCGTATTCCGGTTACATCGACATCATCGGTAACAAGAATTGCGAAGTGTCTTCTGCCTTTTCCAAGTAGGATGAGGAAGCAACGCGATTGGGTCTCGTGGTCAACGAGGACAAGACGAAGTATCTCCTATCATCAAACAAACAGTCACCGCATTCGCGCCTTGATGCCCATGTCACTGTTGACAGATATAATTTCGAGAAAGTGTAGAATTTTGTTTACTTGGGAACCAGCATTAACACCCACAATAATGTCAGCTTCGAAATTCAACGCAGAATCACTCTTACCAACAAGTGCTACTTTGGACTGAGTAGCCAATTTAAGAGTAAACAACTCTCTCGACATACGACACCAAGTGCTACTTTGGACTCTCCATATACGAAAACCACATATATAAGTCACTCATCATGCTCGGGCTGGTATATGGCGCATAAGCATTGGCAATGACAACATCTGATGAGGCGGCGCTTGGAGTATTCGAAAGAACAATTTTGCGGACAATTTACGGGCATTTACTCTTTAGCGACGACGAGTACCGCAGACGAAGGAACGATGAGCTGTGTGAGCGTTAAAATGACATAGACATAGTGCATCGACTTAAAATCCAGCTCTGTAAGTATTCAACTCGGAACCCCCTGGTGGTAGCAGAGGAAGAGGGAGACCCCCACAGCGATGGAAATACCAAGTGAAGAAGGACTTAGCTTTAATTGGCACAGCGCCAAATAAAAAGGAGAATAATGCGGCAATGAATCTTCCACACATTTAGAAAAGCTTTTTGGCATCATATCTAAGTCCATGTGATGAAAAATATTATGTGTGCCACCATTGCAGTCATTTCAAAATTTGGACCAAATTCGGCCCTATTTTTTACATGGAAGAAGAAAAGACTAATTGCAAGTAAACACTTTTTTCACAAAATTAGTAAAATATAAAGGTGAAGCTACCCTTTGGCATAATCTATTTTGAGATTTCTGCAGCTTATCTATTTTTTGTTTTGTTTTTTTAGTTCTGCTGTTGCGAAAACGCAACGGTGCACAGTGGTCGGAGAAACCATGTTTTATGCGAAAAACCCATATTTTAAAATTGTGATAAATTAACCGGAAAAAAGCTATTCTTATTCAGAAATGTCCAACGAACTCAAAGCTGATTAGTACTATCAATAATATCTGTTGGGAAAGCCGGTGAATCCATTTAATGCAACGGACACGTTCTAACAGTTATGAGTTGATAACTTTCTTAGTTAGTTCTTTTCCAACGAAAACGAAATCATAGCAAGTTTCAGCGAAGACCGTTGTCAAATGAGGCGACAAGCAAAAGAGCAAATACTAAAAATTCAACGTGAAAACAAAAAAAAACCTATGATCTTCGACGAAGCCTCCGGTACGCTACAAACAAGGTGACCTCGTTGCGATCAAAAGAACGCAGTTTGGAGGTGGTTTAAAGCTAAAACCTAGATATTTGGGTCCTTACAAGGTCGTTAAAGTAAAACATCACGACACCTACGACGTTGGGAAAATTGGTAACAGCGAAGGGTCAAAACAAATAAGCACGTGTGCCGAGTATATGAAAGCCTGGCCAGCCACAGAAGACGATGACACTACATTCGGGTCGAATGCTTTGTAAGATGGCCGAATTGTGGGGTTAAAGCCTGGCAACCCTATTTCTTTTTTAATGAAACCATGGCGTCGCAGTATCATGGCAGTCTAGCAGCGAGTCGAGTAGGAGCCGGTAGCCGAGACGGTTGTGTCTTGTGAAATCAAATAGTTTATTAATTCTTTCCCTAAGCGCTCAATTCATTTAATTCATTATTTTCCTAAATATTCAATTCCAATCTTATTATTTAAATTCATTTTTGTGAACCCAAAATTATTTTAAATAATCGTAAATAAAACGAAACCTGTACGTTTCTGTGAACTTAAAACTAACTAAGCAAACAATAAACCTACATGTATATATTATATGAGATCTTGAGCGCCAGAGTAGCTTAACTGTCATATCAAACAAATGAGGTGTTCCTTAAAATGCATTACCAGAAACGAAACGGCAATAGCCCGAGGCACGCCCGCCCTTTTAGTTTCCTTTTACTATAATATGTAGCATCACGTAGGTGCAATGATTTTTTTTTTAGTAAAATACCGCATTTATTTTTTATAGATCCCTCTTTCTCATATTACTAAAAATTTGTTTGTAGACAGGCTCCTATGACCCTGATGGCCTCACATGTAAAAAGAATTTGTTTAGTTTTCTTTTAATAAAACTATTTATTGTACCCATGAAACCCAGTCTAGTTTCTCCAAACTCATTTAAGTGGAAATCAACTTTAACTGAATTTTTTATTTAATTCTCATTTAAGTTATTTTCAGTTTCAATAAGCTCTTTATTTAAGTGAGTAAAAAGTGGGTGTAAAACAGACTTACCGCCCAATTCTGTGTTTTCTTGATACATTTTTTGTAAAGAAATTTTATCAAGATTTGTATCAAGTAAAAGCTTCCTTCGTATTCTGTTACTACGTTTATACGTAAGCTATTTGCAAATAAATATAATTTACAAATACCTAACTCACTGTTTATTCGATAGTGGAAAATTATTTTTTAATATTGCCTGATTATAAAAAGGCAATTATATGACCATCGAAAAAGAAAATAAAGTTAAAAATGGCAACGTCTTGATTATAAAGAGGCAATAAGATGACCATCGAAAAAAAAAACCTAAGAATGGCGGCGTCTTGCGCTTATTTGCAAATAGTACCACTAATCAATACTTATTTGCGTGATTTAGTTATTTGCAAATAAAAAATTAACTCAGCGTTTATACGGCAAAGTTTACCATTTTGCAAATTGTTATTTGCAAATAATACGTGCGTATAAACGAAGTATGTGTCAATATTTATAAAATAAAAAGCTCTACGATTTCCACATTCGTGGAACTGATTTCCACATGAGTGGAACTGATTTCATTGTCACATGTGAAAAATATGAATTTAAAAGCAAAAAAGCTGTTGACTGCCGTAGCCGAGTAGGTAGAGATGTCGACTATA